AATAATGCATCCGTGCCAACCGGTGTCGCATATCTCGCCCCCAGTGTTACGCCATATGAGAAAGTTAACCCGGCGTTTAGATTTTACACCGTTGACTCGGCGGTTAGTATTAAATGATCTCGTTAAAATATAATTATGACAATTACATTCTCTCTCTCTCTCTCTCTCTCTCTCTCATTTATTTATTTATTTTTGTAATTTTAATTTATTTCTATTATTTTGATAAACTCTATAATATATTAATTGTTATATTATAATAGGGAACTATTTTGGATCATCAAAACTACTACACAAACCTAACCTACTCTAACATACACTCACAAGTATCTGAATCGGAACCGCTCGAAGAACTCTTTGACAACATGTGAGCCAATGTTGGTCTCAACCACTCTTTTGGCTCAATGTTTGGCCATTGACTGGCAATTGGTTTATACCTATTGTATTGTAATGTGAGTCCAATGACAGGAAGTACTGTCCAAACCGATCGGCTGTTGAATTAAACAATTAAATAATTTATCATTTGTTTTAATTGTAAGTAATGTTACGAACCCTTTACTAAAGAGATATCTTAATCCTAATTTATGCATAACTAATGATAGGAAATATATAAATTACAATTAAAATGCAAATCAAGTGTCACTTCTCTAACAGTTTTACTTAAATTTAATATTTAATTGTAATCTGTAGTCAAACTCTTAACAATATAATCAAATTGTTTATCACGTGTTTTGCATACAATTTATTTTAATTATTGACATTTGTATTTAAGTTATTTATAGTTTAATTTGATATATTTTAATGAAATATTTAAATAAATTACTGTATATAATTCACATTTGCATCAATTGATCATTTATTTAAATTATTTTTCACATATACTTTGAGCTGTAATTAGAGTATTCGTATTGTTTTTCAAATACCTATTTTTATCATTTATCTGATTTAAATGCTTAACTATATTAATCATATTATGTCGTATTATAAACAGTATTTTAATTTCAATATCATTAGATTATTATAAATTGCATAAATGTAAACATAGTTTATAATTTATAATACAAAATGTCTAAAATAAAAATTCATCTAAATCTTGTCGAACAACGACTCAATTGGGACCCAATTGTTGTCAAATTAATAGTTATATTTACTATTTATACACACTTTGTCGGGTAATCTCTCGCTCTCTCTCGCTCTCTCTCTCTCTCTCTCTCTCTCTCTCTCTAACTTTTAAAAATTTCGTATTTAAAAATGACAAAAATGAAAATGTTATTTAATTTTACAGAGTATTAATAATGTCGGTCATATCTGATTGTACACTCGATTTGTTAATATGGGTCTATTTTACCTTTATCACTTTCATTAATATTGCGTGTGAATGTGCATTAAAAACACCAAGGGCAAATACTATCACCCTTGAGGGACACAACTATTTCAGACTTTCTGGTAAGTAATACAAACATTTTTAAATTAATTTAATCTAAATCCAATATTTTAATTCGTGTAATTATAGTTATGTGTTTGTGCCTGGTAATGGAAGTAATGATCAATACCATTTGTGTGATTTGTAAACACTATAAACACGTTGAAACACTAATAGTGGTCAGTCTATGTAATCCGGTTCTGTGTGTGATTATGGTTATTGTGTATTTAGTGGTTTCTAAATAATTAATACATAACATCTTTTATCTTGATATTAATTATTTAATTTAAATAGTCAATTCATCAAAGCTATTATTAAGTGTATTAACCGTATTAATAGTAAAATTTTGAATATAATAATTGAACGACTTTGATAGATAAAAAATATTATAATAAAACAATTATAAAGATTTTTAAACTATAAATAATGAAAATTAACAAATTATTACTTTGTAAATCCACATGCATAAAATTTTAATAATACAAATTAAACAAAAATAAACATTTAATAACAAGCAAGATTATTATTATTATTAAAATTCCTAAATATAAATAAATATTTCAAACAATGCAAAGTAATGAACATTGACAACAAAAATTATTACAATATTATTAAATAAATATTAAATACTTTAGTTTTAGTAAAACAGCAATACTTATAACACAATTCATAAAATAATTCACAAAATACAATTGTGAAAAAGCACAACAAAATCAAACAAAAACACACATGCTCAATTAATCAGCGCAACAACAGCCGAGACAGCATCCGGCTAACAGTGCCAGACAGCAGCAGGACTCTTTGGACATACCACCACCACTATTATCATTTCGTTTACCACGTACCTCTTCAATAATAATAGGCTGTTGCTGTACAGGTGGAGCCCCGTATGGCATACCGTATGGCTGTTGGCCATACATGGGTTGGCCGGGCGGTGGCTGTTGCATATACACGGGTTGAGGTTGGTACTGCACTGGCCAGCCCGGGTTCACTTGAACTTGTTGGTTCCCGGGGTATGGCTGTGGGACCATCTCCTGGTACATCCCGTTCCGGTCGTAAGGCGGGGGCGCCGGCATTGCTTGCATGGCTTTCGGTATGAGTTTTATCACTTCTCTGTGTAAATCAATGTTAAATTACTTTAAAGAGCTGGTTATCAATAGGGATTTAATTAAATATTAGTTTATCTAATTAATAATGATTGTTTTACTTAAACATTTGCTCTATGTTACTTCAGATCGTGATATTAAACAACTAATGTTTTATATCTATTGCAGTATTGATACACAATTACCACATATATGTGTAAATCTCGATGATTATTCACATTTTTAATTACCATTGAGGACAATAGTACATTATTATCGCTTTTTTACTAAAATGTTCAATGTCATTACATTATTTACGCCATAATTACCATGTTTTATTGATCATTACATAGGATTTTAATGTTATTATTATTATTACTAAAATATTAATATTTTTACTACAATTACTTACTCTAAATATCTGACCGTCAGTTATACACAATGGACTTGAATTCAAACGCTATAACAATACTGTATTTTCAATGCTGTTTACACTGAATAATAAACAGATGTACACTATATTCACGCAGTTTCCAGTGTATTGTTGTGTGGATATGAATAAACATGCAAAATGATTATTGCAAAACTTACATTAATGTAATTATTAATGCTCTGCCAATGACTATCCACAATTATACCTTACGTTATATATATAAATAATATGATCAAACATTAAATTAAAAAACATTTAATACGTTAAAAGCAAATATGGTATTAATTTGTTAGCATTTTGTGCTTATATTTATCAATGAAGTTGTTTTTAGTACAGAATACCTGAGTATAAGATCTTAAGAATTTACAGAATATTACTAAAAAACATTTATTTAGAATTCAAGTGTATTTACAATAAGAAAATCAAATACAAACTCATAATAATTGTATTACAAGTGTGTAATCTTGTACTTAAAATGCTCTTGGTAATAAAACAAAATTATATCATGTTAAAACTAAACATAATAATTATAATAATAAAGTAGAATTAATATAAAATATAATATAAAAGTATTTTATCAAAAAATTCAAACTTTTAAAAACAATACAAAATTATGAACCAGGCCATTTAATCATCACTCATACACCAGCCCAATAGACAACCGGCCAATAGGGCAAAACAACAACAGTTGGCACAGCCGTCATCGGCGGTACGTTTATCATAGGCTCGACGATCGCAATCGTGTACAGTAAACATCGTGTGCTGTAACGGGGCGTACGATTGGCCGCCAACACCCCCACTGCCATAATACGGGTGCTGATGGGGCTGATACATGGGCTGACACGCCTGGTATACGGGCGGACCCCCCTCTTTATACCCGATGGGGGATGTATTGTAGGCCAATATGGTTTGGTTGGGCGGATCGCGCCAACCCGGTTGATATATGATGGGCTGGTGCTGTTGCGGTGGCGGTTGTATTTGAACAGGTTGAACTATTGCCGGCCCCGTGACATATGGACTTGGATTATATGGTGGCGGTGGCGCTTGCGGTGGCGGCCCTCCCGGTGCTGTTGGTTGCGTGAATGAGCTGTTTTCATACATATTTATTTATTACAACTAGATAATTATAAACCACAGAAATTAATGGAATTTAATTACAACTAACTATTATTATTACAATACGAATATTATATTAACTATTTAAACAACCTCTAATTAATATGGTATTATTAATAGATTCAAAATGAATAAATGTAAATTATTGTATTGAAAATAATGTACGTGTTAATCTACAAAAGCAAACATTTGATTAAACTTGGTTTGTTGTTTTTATATCGTGATGAGTTCTACAGAAAAATATTTATCATACAATAAATATAACTATATTTTACAAACAGATATTTTTGCAGCGTTTCGTACATCAAGTGATTTAAAAGTTTGCATCAAAATTTTCATCGCTGTTATCTGTCATATGTTTATGAAAATTGTTTACTTTTTTGTTTTAAAATGTAAACATATTTCGCTATTGCGAACCGATGTCAGCTATTGTATAGTGTACTGAACTGTATTGTCCAAGTTGTTTGATGTAACTTTAATAAATTATTATAATTAATATTACAATTAATGAGTATAGATCTCAAAGTAGATCCCAATGTAGACAAAGGAGTGCCATATCTGTTGGGATCGGGTATTATATGGGATGAGAGGGGATATGTGTTGACACATCCCAGTGTTGTCAACAGATTCAACCGATTTCTCGTACGTCTGGGCGATGGCCAGGAAGTGATGGCCCGTTTCTGGTACACCAACGACGCCATTGAGATATCTGTCATCAAATTGGACGGCAATCGCAACGACTGGCCGATGATATCGACGGGCGATTCAAAGAGCGTGGACTTTGGCGATCGGGTGCTGGTGGTGGGCAACCCTCGGCCCGGTATACGTAATCATCTGACCCACGGCTGTGTCACTCATACCCGGAGGAAGGGATCCGAGATTGAGGGCATTCATACGAAAGGCATTGTAATGAAATCCATTAGTTATATCCAACACATGGCGGATGTGATGGCACAGGACGTGGGCAGCGCTCTGGTCGATGCCGAGGGCGATGTGATCGGACTAAACGTCAAGCATTTCGCTCTGAATGTGAACGTGGCCATTCCCATTCACATGGTTGAAAGTATAATGTTTTATCATTATAATTTATGTTTGAAATTTGTGTTTTAAACCACTTTCTCTTATTTCTAGCCTTTTTCAAGAAGTTTACGAGCGTTGAAAGTGGGCCAACACTGGGCGCCGAACTCTATTGGCTAACCCCTGAACTGAGACAGTGGTTGAAACAGTATCGACAGGTGCCCGACGTTAATGGTGT